TCGCCTGCAAGTGACTATTCTTATGAAATTTAATATAGGTTTAGTATGCTCGGCAAAATGGGAATGAAATTAAAGGTCTTTGAGAATATTTTAATGGAAAATTTTTTCAATGGGGTTGCCACGTATCTTAAAAATTTTAGTAAATTTGACTAGAAAATAAAAAAAAATAAGCTTAAAGAAAGTTAATAACGAGTAGATAATATACTAAAAGCTAAAAAATGACCATTTATCTTAATTCGGGTGGTGTACCGCTATCGACATATCTTTTTTGGCCACCCTAACGTCACACAGTCCTCGGCACGATACGAAATATCGACTTAGATCGGAACCTTAGGTTTGGTTAAATGCCTACATTTTTGTTTTAAGATACTGACTGTCTAAACTCTATGCTCTGTCATGCACTATGTGTAATTTAATATCCATTACCCATAGTAGGAGGATTGAAATAATTGGGAAATCCATTTTGTACCGGCGATTATCTCGGATTTGTAATTTTTCATAGTGAACTGTATTCTACTAGTCAAGCCCTTTCATTTGATACCCATATTGATGGCGTTGTAAAAAATATGTAATCCGGCCTTTTGCTTTTAAACAGGGTTGCCAATCAGCAAAAAATTTGTTTAAGCAACACATGCAAAATTTTGCAGTATTGGTATCGAACAAAAAGTTGTGGTTCAAAAATACTTTTTGTAGAGTTGCCATCTATCTAAACAAAGTTAACTTAATGAAATATTAGTTTTGGCAGTCTTTGAGATTTTGCTGATCAACAGAAATTATTGCATCCTGAACTTCCATTCTCACATAATCCCTCTCCTTATATTGACAGGTAGATAATAAAAAGCGGTAAATTGATCCCTCTGACCCAACGGACCCTCTACTCTTCACAACACTTCTCCTAATCCTAAATAACTCAGAGAGCTTAGAGCTTAGAAGGGCGATAGAAAGTGAATTGCTTCTTTTTGGACTACTGTGTGCTTAGATTCTTTTCTCGTCTTCTTGAAACGGTGCACTGGAGTCCCTTTTGCTGAGGTGCTAGCTTTATGTAAAGAGCTTCACATTCCACACAGAGTCCACTAAGATTGCCTGTGATGATCCTGATTTTTCTTTAGAAGCTTTTACCTTTTCAGGATATAAATCCCAATAAGCTCTTAGCTTCTTCGTGGGTATAGCTAAGTATTGCATTGTTATGTTTTTACGTTTGTAACTAAAATAATTTTTTTTTTGCTGTAGGCAAAGACAAAAGCATTTCTTGGCGAGTAGGGAAATCGATGACAACAAACAGTAAATACATGAACAATACTGATTGGAGCATCGATAGTAGATAAGAAGAGTAGTAGGTATTAGGGTATTAGGGTACTCGACTATTCGCCTTTTTTCCAAAACCGGTTTTCGAGTTATTCGAAAAATGTTAATTAAAAAAAAAAATCGGTTGCCGAATTTGAAATTAAGAAAAAACCGGATAACCCGGTTTTATTTCACATAGTTTTTATATGGTGAAAATGCTTATCTTGGTATGAAGTCATGAACAAAAAAACAAGAAAAGAGCAAAGCAAAATAAGAAAATTTTTTTTTATATCAAAATTAAAACAAATCAAAATCAGTGAAAAATTTACGGGCGGTCTTTTTTGTAATACTTTATTAAATTTTTTCGTTTTTTTTCGGTTTTGAGTAGTGCTCTTGCCGTCGTAGCCGAGTGCTTAGCCTAATGTCACTCGCGGAGATTCCTGGTTCAACTTCTGCTTCCAGCAACATCAACAGAAGTTTTTTCAAGCAGGTGTCGCGCTGGGAATGCAATGGCAAACCTATGAATGTACTTATGCCATAAAAAAGCAGAACTCGAATGGAAAGTTTTAAGCGCCAAGCATTTGTTTATTGAATCGAAATATGATCTATACTGTTCATCCCCAAATAACCTAGTATATAATTATGAAACTATTTACGGGTTCGCTTGAACTGCAAGACGTCGAAAAACCTAAATTTTTTATTCAGAGTTAAAAATTTGGATAAAATGAAAAAACGGGTTTGTTCGATCGCAAAATTCGGTTTATTCGATATTCGCAAAGTCAAGATTTCAAAAAACCGCTTATAGATTTGCAAAAAAAACAGTGGAACCCGGTTGGGAAAACCGAGTCAACCACCCTAGTAGGTACATACTATTTACGAAGACAAGTAAATAAAGAGCACGCGCTGAAAATTTTTTGGTAGAAATTTTATCAAATAACAAACACAAATTTTTGAGTACTATGTAGATATGTGCATACAAGTGAACGATATGGTTCGTTCTTTTTTCATGTGGGCCGCATGGGTAGATAAAAATAATTTGTTAATCAAACTTCACATCAGTAAGTAGTAGAGACCTTAATTAAAACTAAAACAACTGTAAGATAAACGATAGGCACGAACTATTATTAGTTTTTTTTTTTTGTTTTGTATTTAACCCTTTGAAGGCCGACTTAAGTTGAGTGGGGCTAAAACTTTGAAGGCATATTATTGTCGGTTAATTTCTTTAATATGAAGTGTGTGACGTTCAAGGCAATAAACTGGCTAAACAATTAGCGTCCAATTGGATCGGGGCCTATCGTAAGGTCAGGAATAGCGCGAATTGTCGAGAGATTGTTAATTTCCAGATCTTGTTCTTCTCCAATAAAGCACGGCAGCCATTTCTGTTCAGTGCCAACTGACGCCAAGCTTTAAATGCCAAGTGAAGCCACCAAATCCTGATCTACCTGGTCTGTCTAATGCAAAAGAGGCCTTCCTATTTCTCTATTACCAGCATCGCGACCGGCCTTGAATAATTTCAGAGTTAGAGCGTCCCTGTCCAATCGTACGACATGATAAAGCCGGCGTAGCCGCTGTATTTTAATTCCCCGCTGTATGACAATATCTATTTTTGGCTCAGATTCTGAAAAATTGTCGAAATACATTCCTTGTCCCCTCAACAAGCTACTGAGATTCATCAAAGAGTCCGGTAAGTTTGTGATCCATGTCGGTTTTCCTTAATCGCAAAAGTTACGAGGTTCCCCACTTCGTAGACATGTGTGTCGAGTTTACTTGCCTTTTTATGAATTTTACAAGAACGGATAAAAGAGAAAATTTATGTGTGTGGACCTTACACAAGGTATCTGGCTACGATTAACTGTTTGGGTTTGGTAAACCACTAAAATAATATAAGTCATGTTCTACAACATTTCCAGCTGTATTTTGGAAAGCGTCAATTGGAGTTTAGAAAGCACCAATTGAATTTTTTAATGATTCATACTCTATACATAGACTTTGTTCTGACTGATTTTAAATATTGCTGAAAGATCGGATTATAAACCGATGGCTAAGTGGAAGATCGCCCTATCTCGGCAACCAGTTCGAAAACGCCCTATTTCAAAAAATTGTTCAACAACGCTCTATTTTAGAATTTGGTTGAAGAACGCCATATTCTAGAATTGGATTGAAAAACGCCCTAACTCGGAATTCGGTTCTAAAACACCCTATCTCAGCTCATTTTCAATGTATTTTCGTTTGAGATAGGGCATTTTTGAACCGAATTCTGAGATAGAGCATTCTTCAAAAAAAAAAAAATTAAATCTGAAATAGGGTGTTCTTCAATTAAATTCTGAAGTAGGGCGTTCTTGAAATGTTTTCTGAGATGAGGCGTTTTCGAACAGACAGCCGAGATGTCGATCTTCCATTCAGCCATCGAAATAGTTTTTATTGGGTTTTAACAATATACGTATTCAAATTAAAAAAAAATGTGTGTTTCAAAAATCCAATTGACGTTTTCTCAAAAAACCAATTGACCCTTTCTAAAATGCAAAAAAAAAAATAAGCTACGTGAAAACCCGGTATATTCAATTGAAAAACCCCGGTTTACCCGGAATTCGAAAAATCAAGATTTCAATAATACCGCCCAAAAATATTCAAAAAAACTGGTCAAACCGCGTTTGAAAAAACCGTGTCCAACATCACGTTCAGTAAGAAATCGTGTCCCGTAAATCTACTCCTTATACTTATATGAACGTTTAAAACCTTAAACCACTGACACCACTTACTAGCAGATTTAGTATTAGTTGCGATCCCGTACGAATCCGAACTAATAAGAAATAGTCAGACATGTTTCCCCATACACACCTTTTTAAGTCTAGTTAACAATAACTGACTACAATGTAGAGTCTACATACTTCGAGCTTGAACGGGTAAGAAATGACACTATGGAATAAACATTTGTGGGACATAGTAACTACTCCTAAAGGACCGAAAGTAGCTTAGCTAAGTGTAAGGCAAGCCAGAAGCTTAGATGTCCTGCCGTTTACAATTAACAAAAATTTTAAGTTTTATACATATTCACTCAGCATGCAGAATATGAGCTCCAACCAACTACATATTTACAATCCGCCATAAACCATCAGCAACATTGAAAAAGCCAAACAAGAAAACCTTCTTTTCCATTTGCAGAATCAAATAATTGGGAATTGGGCGCTACCTACAAAGGGAAAGAAGCGAAATGAAAAACATTTAACTATCGCATAATTTGGCGCTAAAAACGATAAAGAAAACAACAGCTACAAAACAAATTGCTTTTCATTTATGTGCTTTTCCCACGAGAGAGCCGCAAGCTAAGGAACAGTAGCCGCCAAAGGGTGGACCGATATGAACCTGTTTTGTGGGGAAAGCAAAAAATAATAAGCCGCCCAATTGCTGGAGAACAGCCGCAACAGAAAGACGTCATGCGCAGCAGCATGTATGGATAAAGCAACTTAAGAGTAGAAATGCAATTTATTAAATGTATTTACGGCAATTAATCTTCTAAAGAGTGCATACACGTACTTACGAGTACACCTTGAAACTGTATTTAAAAGGAAGGGAATGCGGGGTTGGGACGGGAAAAGAAGGAAGGAATGTTTAATGAAATCAAGTTAATGCGGTTAATGAGAGGAGTCCATTATGAGCGATAGCTTTTGAAAAAAGGAAGCACGATTTTTAATATACATTTATCCACACAGCACAAATATTCTTGATTTTTCTTTTAATTTTCGTATAAACTTACAACTAATTAAGGATTGCATAGCCCAATTAACGAGTAGATAATTGGGGTCATGTTGCTAAAGTCTAAACCTATTAAAGCTATCAATAGTCGGGTAAGTCATTGGGCACGGTGCCGTCCAAGTCAAAGCATCGGCAAGTGCAGGAGCTAACAGGACATTCAGAATTTTGTCTGTACAATACATAAGAAAAATACACAATGTATATTATAGAATGGAATATATAAATATGTAAAGTAGTACATTAACGCGACTTACTTGAACCACTGCATCATGTGTTCGGTATGGCCGCCATGTCGACAAGTCTGACACCAGGAGAACCACTTCGAAAACGGTTTCGATTGCCAGCCCAAACTTTCGTGGGTCGCATCGCTGGGTAGCGAAATATTCAGCGTAGTGCCCATGTGTAGCAAGCATAGAGAGCAACGCGGTAGTGGTTTGCGGCAACTAGGGCAGGAAGAAAGCTGCGGAGCGGTTAAAATGAAAAGGCTGTTTAGAAAAAATATACAAATTTTTTTGTCGCATATTAAACCTACTTTATTCACATTCGAAGAGGCACTGCGCATGCGCGCATCCTCCTGCAAAGCACTCGATACCGATTTGCCACAAAAGTTGCACGAGAGAAAAACACTGCGGGTGGTGCGTGTACCGGTGCGTAGATTCTCAATTTTTATATCCAGCTCAGCGCGTTTCTCCCAAAGGCCCCACGAGTTTAGAACATCTAAATAACTGTGTAGCAACCAAGTAAATTAAAGTTATATTAAAGTAAGCAATAGAAGTGTTAGGTTCCCCAACCTGCTAATCCAATATTGTATGCGATTATCTGCGAAATGTTCGCGATGGAAATAATTGATAGCTATTAACGCGACTGTTTGTACATCGGATGTTAAATCCAAGTAAGCTTGCAGTATATTGATGCCATCCAGCGATTCACCAGTGAGCAGCAAGCCATTTAGGTCACCGCTTTCAATCGATTTTTGTATTAACTGCTTAACATAATCTGCCAACTTGCTCTCCGATAAGTATTTGCAAGCGAAAGCCACGCGATCGGCAAGTGAGATGCCATCCTCCGTCTGTAACCGGTAAATTTTATTTATCAATTCAGAATTATAACAAGTATCACCCTTTTAGCTCACCAGCACCGCATCGAAGTTATCATTCTCGGTGGTGAGGAATGAGAATATGGCACGCAAATGTGCATCCTGTATTTGTTTATTGGCATTTGAGCGTTGATTACGCCAAGTCGAGTTGCAACGATCTGCATTAAAGCTGGATAGGGCAATAGCGGCAATGCGAAACATGCTGGCATCGTGAGGATCCTTCGAATTGCGTGAGAGATCTGCAGCTTTTGAGAGTATGTCGCAAGCAAAAACGATTTTCAGATGAAATACGCAAATCATGGCAGCGCGACTGAACTCCTGCAATGAAATACAAAGGAAAGACGGACAGTAACAACAATTTAATTCAATTAATATTTCAGTTAACAATTAAATTCACCTTGTTGTCACACAGCCCGTTTACGAAGCGCTCCAAGTCCTGTTCGAACACCCAGCCGCAGAGTTTCAGCGCCACATCGCGTTGTTCACTTCTGCAAAAGGAAATACATTTTAGAGTTATGTAAACAATGCTACATCTCTAAAGAATTAAGTGTCAAGTTTACCTGTAGCACACCAAATTATTGGAATTTATGAAATCTGGCCATTGCAATACACGCGATTCAATACGCGATGAGGCCATCAACGCCTCTGATGTGTGACCTAAACTAATGCCCAAAATGGTTTTCAAACCCGTTAAGCGTTCTTCTCTATACAAATTACTCAAAGTTAGCCAAACACTTTTCAAATATGGTGTCAAAGGCAACCCGTCGACATGCCTATCTGTCTTCAAACCATAATCACTAAGAGCACGCTGATAGGTTTCTTCAACCAATTCTTCTTTGGATAAGTTTTGGTCAAGAATCTCGAAATTAAGCGCCGAATTGAGTGTGGATGTAGATATAATAGATGAAGTGCTTTGGCTGCTATTTTGACGTGTTGGAGTGCTTGCAATGGCGAGCGGACGCTGTGGCAGGAGCGGTATTTTTTTATGATTGCTATAAGTGGTGAGCAGAGAAAGCGGTAAACGAATTTCCAAAATGGTCCCTAAAGTGAAAAAAACGAATGTGTTAAATAAGTTAATAACGAAGTCTCAGATTTTTAAAATTGCAAAAAACCTTGCTCCGAAAGCAGCAAAGCGCGCTCATAATCCGTGTTGTGCCAGGAGATATAGGTGAGTGTCGGCGGTTTGTTTGAAGCATAGTACTTAGCTTGGAATGGCTGCAGCTGTCGCTTCACATGGTACACCTCCCGACTGCTTTCTGCGTCCACGCTGCGTATATCATAGAGGGTGATGAAGGGAGATTCACGTTGTAGCGATGTAAGTAAGCTGGAGCTGTAAGTAAACAATTTTGTAATTAGAAGCCTTTTCTGCATAGATTAAAGAAGTTGTCGCACATACCGCGTTGGACACCAACTAAGTTGTAAATGATTCTTTCCCGATTGTATAGTCTTCAGCGGATGGTCCAGCACTCGTAAATCCCATATCATAATTACCGAATCCAAGTAAGAACAGAGATAGTTCCCATTTGGAGCCACAGCGAGGCCATGTACCATTTTCGTTTGTATGGATTGGCAGGTAGTGTTGCCCTCTGTTGAGAGAGTAAAAGTATGAAATACAGTTACTTATTATGGCAACTTGATTTTTGTCTGTACTAACGCTTTAAGTCGAACAGCTTTATCTGCTTCTGGCTTACACCCGCAATAAGCATGCGATGATTTTTGTCCCAGCACATTGAGTGGGCAGACTCCGAGTGTCCAAAGAAACTTACTGTAAGAATATAAGGAAAAGAGAAAAGTATTCCTTTGTAGAGAGTGTGTAGATTGATTCAAAGCATACTAAAATGAAAATAATAATAATTAATCCAGGTTTGGTTACTTGCGGCTACTTAAACCCATGGAGTTTCGTATTCGATTTAAGCTTGCTATCTTCTGATGCCAAGGTTTTATACAACCGAAAATCGTTAGTGCATCTGCATTGTTTTCACATACGGCTTATAGTAAAACTCACCTGCATCTTTGGGGACACCACGTTCTATATCCCAAATTGCAATACATGAATCGGAGCGATGACGATCATGTCCTATGGCCAATACATTGTGGTCAAACTCATTCCAGGCTAGACAAAGGCACATGCGTTGCTGGCGTGGTGCTGGGTGCAGGGTGACAATTACAAGCAACAATTACACTAAATATACAAACTTGTACAGTGTTCAACTCACTAAATTCCCAGCTATTGTCGACAGTTTCATGAAAATCGCAAATACCAACTTTTCCATCACCCAATCCAACGGCGATAATCGGCCGGTTTTTGTGGTAGGACGGCTGCACACAACGCGCATACTGGTACCGCGTCTCTGTGGCTAAGAAGTTAGCCGATATATTTGGCAATGCACCTACATATAATGAGGGAAGAAAAGTTATTTAAACCAAATAAAGAAAATTCACTTAGTTGCGCCCTCAATATCCAACATCTGTTTGACCTGATGAACGCGCTGGTACTTACTTCGCCGGCTATCATCGTGTTGCGTGCGCTCATATAACTTAATTTCTTGTCCCCAGGTTACGAATTTGTCTGGAAATTGCGGAAACCAACTCAGTCCATGAATTGTGCCACTCATCATTGCTTTTTCCACTGTGCGTCCTAACTTTTTAATTGTTTACACATTTACCTCTTATCAGTTAATCAGCTGTTGTCACTACGGAATCGGTTTGGGACCAAATGCACTACCGGAATCGGTTTGTGACCAAATGCACTAACCGGATCTTTGGAAACGTTATTGCCACACGACGGGAATTGTGAGTGAATAACAACATTTTTGTGCAGTTTGGAAAATTAGCTAGGACAATTTAAAGAACAATAACGATTTCGCATTGTTTTTGAGCTGAAAAATATTTATATCACCAAATAAAATTGCTTATTTTTATAACATAGCATCCACACAGGGTGATGCAACCCGCATTGAAGAATATAAGTGACAACTATTACCCGCTAGGTGGCGCCATCAGCAACTGACGCTAAGCAACCATAGCAGAAATAGCGGTAGTTTTTAATTTCTGCCAACACGTGCGCTTTCTGTTCGGTTTGTGAAAAATGTGATATTTCCGTTTAAAGGAGTTTCAAATCCGGTTTTCTGTTTAAATTTGTGCTCAATAGTAAGCTAGCCTTGCAAATGATGTGAAATATAAGTGCGGGTTGAAGTTTAATGTGCGAAATCAGAAGTTGTGTTGGGCGCAGTGAGTGCTTCAAAGTGCATATTGTGCATAGAAATGTTTGTTTTCATTTAATTGCCCTGCGCTGGCAGAATTCCATATGAAAGTGCCCTGCGCTGGACATGACTGCTCTAAATAGTGATTTAATCCATCATTAACCAATCTCTCTTGAAGGGAGCCTCCTCATGTTATCAACTACAAAGATCACAACTATCGAGCCACAGGGCTTCTCTGATTGGTACGCATTGGTAAGTTCACTCAAGCAAAATTTTTTCTTGAAACATTCATGTGTATGTATGTGCATACCAAGTAAAAAATCGGGAATCGCTCTTAGCGGAAAGGTGTTCTAGAATGTCTAATACGGCTTTGCCACGGCACCCTATTTACAGTATCGGTCATATCTATAGCACGCCATTTCAAAGTGACATTGTGTGCCACTTATGCTTATTTATTTATTTTTAAGAATTTTCTATTAAAATACAGTTCTTTAACCCCATATAAACCCAAGTTTAACAATTTGTAGAAAACTTCAAAAAATGGCAACAAATTTTCACCTAAGTTTTAAACTTTTTTCTCGGAAGTGTTAGAATTTTTTTGAGACACAGGTTTTTAGCCACTGCAATTTTAGTCTGATAATATTCAAATTTCAAGTGGCTACGAATTACCGTTAATTTTTTTTAGATTTTTTTTTGTCGCATTGGCTTTCATATAATGAATAAACTCAATTTATTTGTATATGGATGAAAACCGCAACACCTTTGGCGAAAAAAATTCTAAAATTCTTGCACATTATCAGACTAAAATTGATTGGGCTATAAAACTGTGTATTCAGAAAAATTCCAACACTTCCGAGAAAGGGGTTTGAAATTTAGGGGGAAATTTGTTGCACTTTTTTGAAGTTTTCTACAAATTGTTAAACTTGGGTTTATATGGGGTTTGTAAGAGAAAGAACTGTATTTTAATTTAAAATTCTCAAAAATAAATAAATAAACATAAGTTGCACACAATATCAATTTGAAATGGCGTGCTATAGATATGACCGATACTGTATGTATTTCGGTATCTCATTCGTAATTCGCATTCCAATTACCCTTCGAATGACGTTATTCGCCACACAAAATTTTGGGAGCAAATTACCTCATTTGTTGATAATTCAGATCGAATTACTATAATAGTAAGGCACGACCTTCACCCTAGGGTTGCCAAACGTACTATAATATATAGTATTGTACTGCGTACTTAATACTGTTGGGAAAAATATAGTATGCAAAAATACAATATTTCCTTAATTATAAATATTAATATATTTCAGTAATTTGCAAGAAAAAATGTATATTAAAATGGGTGAACTGTATCCTGAAGTTGAAATATTGAAAGAAATATTCTTTAAAATAAAAGGTCATACTGAGTTTATTAATAGAACCATAGTTAAAAAATTCCAACATTTTTAAAAATACTTAGAATGAATTGCCAAATTTACTTAAATTTATTTCGTTCCTGCTCTCTATTCCTGCAACTTCGGCACTCACAGAAGAGTTTTATGAATGCCAAATGACAAAATGAGAGAAACAAAGCGACTAACTCATTAATAAAATAAACTTTTGACTTATATTAATTTTGCGTTAAAGCATATGATACTTATAAAGATATATAAAGAAGAAATGCATAAGAAAAAAAATGTACACTTAAAAAGCGTTTTAATTATTTCTTTTAAATATAATACTTTATTTATTTGAAGTGTACTATATTTTTTTTTTAGATTTTTGTAGTTTCCTAGAAAATGTTGGCAGCCCTACTTCACCCATCTGTTCAATGGATGAAATCTACTTTAACTGAAATTTAACGTGTTAGGAAATATTTCGCGAGTGGGTTGACTGAACAAAAATCCTGGCCAGGATATTTTTAATGAAATATTAAAAATTTATTTTTTTTTAATTTTGCACTTATTTGTTTAATGAACAAATTGAATATACCAATCGAAAGCACAAAGCCTATTGAATGTGTTAAACAGATGAGTGAAAATTATTAGTATTACCTACCTGTTCATACCTGCCAACCCGATAGGTAGGCGAGTAAAAAAAAACAGACAACCCAACGTTTTCACATTCTATAGGCATAATACTTTCGCTTAGCTTTGAGCAAAATGTATATTTTATATATTTTTGTACATTTTGTTTATAGTTATATGGTACGTATTTTTAGGCTTCGTTTTCTGTATAAAAATCCGCAATCTAATTATAAAAGGAGTGAAAAAAACAAAATATTTAAATTTATCTATGTCGTTTCGATTAAAAAGGGACAAATTAATTTGGTATTTTAATTACAGCGGCGCTGTGGGGTAGTGGTTAGCAGTGCGCGCTACCATTCCGCAGAGCCTGGGTTCAAGCGTGACATCCCGTGTTTTCTCTCAGACACTATCGGCTACATGTCATCTGCAAATTGAAACCTAATGTACTTAATATTAATAAAATGGGAACCAACAGAAGTGGTAGCGAGGAAGAAACTGTAAAAATTGGCAAATACATACATGAGTTTTTATAGATTTCCGAGAATTCTTAAATTTAAGTCTCATCTCAAAGGGAAACACCTAAAAATTAAGTATACATTCTATATATACATATATATATATATGTACATGACAATTTGTATAAGACTCTGATTGGTTTTAAATAAGTGGTCTTCTCATATTTTGAATTTTTGAAAACTATCACTGTATTTGCGTACTCGTGCCCAAAAAAAACTTGCAAAATAGTTACAATGAAGAAGAATGAAAAAGAAAGCTCAGTTAATTTTTTTAGGTTTTCTTATTGAAAGAAACCGGCCCTTAGTGGGTGTCAACATGGTTGCCGTATAAAATGTTTCGTTTGTGCCATATTTTTCCCAAAATAGACTAAAAAAAATGCAGTTTGCCATAATTTTGAAGATATATTTGTAGCTAGCCTACTTAATTTTTTTGGGGGAGATTCTCTTTGAATGCGTCATGATGCGGTATCTCAAACAATAATAATATATATAATACAATAATAAATTTGTTTTTGTTATTTTTTGGCCTTATAACAATTATATTCAACAATTCATATTGAGCTCGAAGCCGTTTTTTAAATGAAAATTTATTGTGGAAAAGCAACAATAATTTGAAAAAAAATGGTAGAAGTGATAGCTATTTCGGAAATCACCACATTTCCTCA